ACAGCAATATACATATAGTATAACATACAAATATATAAACACATTCATACAAACAGAAATATACTTAAATATAAATACACTTACACAATAAAATAGGACATACAGATATATATATATATATATATATATATGCACACACATATATATATATACACACACACATACATATATATATATACAAATATATCGTGGCACAAAGCCGAAATTAGGGGGTACCCAGTGAGGAACGAACTCATTACTCAGTCGCACCTAATCTAGCGAACCATGCTGGCCAACCATTATACTGCCGTGATTTTATCATACATATACATATACATACTCATACATATAAACATACACATACATACATACACACACATACATACATATATATATATATATATATATATATATATATATATATATATATATATATATATACAACCACACACACACACACACACACATATATATATATATATACAAACATATATATATATTTACATACATATACACACATACACATACAAATACATACATATACACACACCCATACACACATACATATATAGGCACACACATACACATATACAGCAACAATTATTAACCTTTTCTCTTATAATCTACCTTACCTTCCCACATAATATATATATATATATACACACACACTCACATGTATATACATACACACACACCCCACACATACACCCACACATATATAAAAAAAAAACATAAATACATTTATACACCAACCTACACATTCCTCAGTGCAAATATATATATATACATATTGTCATCCACAGACAGTTGCGCTGTATCGGAATTCATCTGGTTGTTTCTAGCTAGGATCGAAACCCGGCTGAATTGGCGTTAGTCGGAGATTCTACCCCTAAGCCGTTAGCGCACGGCACGGGTGAAGGTGAATTTAAGCGTATTTATTTTTAGAAGACTGAGAGAACTCGATTCGCTTTACCGAAGAACCTTGCATTATTAGCAGTAATCTTTACTTTTTACAAACTCACACTTCAGCCTTTAGAGAGCTCAACCAAAATAAATTTTTTTCAGGAGCATATATATATATATATATATATATATATATATATATATATATATATATATATATATGAACTTTATTTCAATCCTTCCCGATCCTTAGATATGATTAATTAATGATGAACATGTCATGATCGTTTTCATCCCGATTTTTCTGTTAAGCTTGGAAAGTAATTATACGTTCTTATTGTCTAAATAGAGTCCAGTAGTTTCGGAGAATTCCAGTAAGATATCTTTAATCGTTTCTAAGATACAACAGTTCAGATCTTAATATATCAATTGGACAATTTGGTTTTTACAAGCTTTGGACAATTTTGCTGTTAAACTTAATATGTGGATAGAAAATGGCCATAAATAGCAAAAGGCAGGAGACGAGGATGCGTTTTCTAAACAATCCTATACAGAAAGTCGATCCGAACAGAATTATAGTGTCTACCAGGAGACAGAAATCTGAAATCGCTTCGGAAATAACGGAAAAAAGTATTCCAAATACTAAACTGTTAAGCGCTAGGAAGATGCCGTCCGGAACAAAGAAAAGGATGGTCTGTTTTGTCATATCTCTCCTATATGTCATCGAAAGCTGCGCAATTTCTTTACAGTAGAAAGAAAAAGGCTGGGGAAAAAAAACCCAAGACTGAACATGTGAGCAACCAAGGCAGTTTTAAATAATTGAAGCAAAAAAAAGCAGGCGCATGCTATCAATGAGAAAAAGACAATTAAAATTTCTGCGTTGCATAAAGAGGAAAGTAAGCTTAGAGAATTGAACACTCACGGGACTTGTCGAAGGATTGATAAAGGGAAACATTCGAGTGATATAGTTGTGTAGTTTGCGGGAGTGAATGAAAGAACGAGGATAAAGGTGGATTATAAAATGTCATACGTTGCTTAGAGTTTCAAGGTAGTTGTGGGGAGCCACGATCAACGACAGCACATAAAAATGAGCGGGAAACAACTAAGAATAGAAGATAATGAAATTCACCAATCTTTGAATGGTATCCGGAATAAAACAAGTGAAGGAGAAAGAAACAATGAAGAGGCATTGTCATTTTCAATTAACCTTGATTTTCGGCTTTATGCCATATGTCATAATGTTGACAAAGATGGATGTAATCCATGTCGTGCCACTAGTATAATTCGGCGAGTAACGTTTTCCTTTTGGCCGGGCACTCGACAACGGGCCTAACGCACGACGCGGGTCTGTTGCGCGGGTAATTCTGTAAGAGAAACCAATGTGTTGGGTCAGGCCGTGTCAGGGCAACTGCCTTTGCGGGCAGAAGTAAATTAGTTGACCGTGAACAAGAACGTATATTACTCACTGTTGCTAGATGCAATCGAAGGCTTCCACCTTATCCTGAAGGCACTTATTGTCCATCTATCGCATGTATCCAGTGTTGGCAGAATTGTGTTCACTAGAGAAGGGTCGAGAAAGATTAGTGAGAGAGATGATGAAAATTAATAGCAAGTTAAC